TCTATACGCCGGCGCCAGATCGATAAATTATAAGGTGGAACAGGGGAGCAAAAATCTCTCTAGTTTTGCGTTGCGTTTCAAGGAGATAAGGGTTAGGGTTGCGGTTAGGGATGAGTTGAGTTTAGGGTTGAAACACGAAAATACGTGCCTTTCTTGGAATTCAGAGTAAGACCGCCTGTATTGCCGGATGTCCCTATTACCGCGTCATACGAATTGGGATTTGTAGGGGTTATTTGTAGTCGTCTTTCCAGACCAAAATATTGGCACTCATAAGACCTAAAAACACATCTGCTAACCATACATCTTGCGTGTTGTCTAGTGAAATTTGTCCATGAAACTGACATCCACAATGTCTTATTCGATTTTTATAGAACACAGCCAAAATACTCACAGTAAGCATCACCAAGACAGACTTCAAAATCGTACTTTTGCCTGGACAAGTTCGTATAAAGTTGCCTTATCTCAAAGCTGCATCTAAAACAAACTTCTGGGTTAATTAGGGCCTAATGAATTTTATATAGTTGGTCCTTTTTTGGGTTGTTAAATAATTTTTCAACACGCTTGATTTCATTTCCACCAAGAATTTATAATTTTATGAGTCTCCCAGATCTGGATACCACAAACAGATCAACCCTTACAAGCATAAATCAGCAGCTTTCACATTGCTCTGACACTGCTTTCGTCAGTGACACTAGGTTTATTACTTTGCCGGTCCCATACTACAGTTCACTTTTTAATTGCTTTAATGAAAAAGGTAGTCCGTGCGGGTCTGATCAGTGAGAAATTGTTGCTGAGAGGTCACAAAGACACTCGGGGTCAAGGATATCGGTCAGCACAACGGCATTTCCTGCGAAAAGGTCAAACTATAGGTGACTGGCCTGAGGTGATTAGCTACTGAGCAAGCATTTGATTTGAATCACAGTCTGTGGGACAATACACACATCCGGAAACAACACAAAAAGACGACCTGACGCCCAGGAACCATGGTTTCAGTGACCTGACAAAGACAACAACGCGTGGGTAATTTTGGGGTGGCGGTGATACCGCTGCATACAACTGTTAGTGTGAACACAGTCCTCGCGGTGTCAACTCTATTACCGAGGTCGTGCGGTGTTCCGGTGACGGTCTACGTCGGCCGAATGGCGGCGACTGCCTCGTCGTCAGGACCAATGCGTTCAGTGGCTTGGCTTTCCTCCTCTCATCCCTCTTTTCCCCCACGGCAGTTCTTGTTGTTCGTTCCGCCTGCCTACCTGAGGAAGAAAGGCAGCTGGAGCACTTTTGGCAGCATTCTACATCAAAATTGGGGAAGGTCATACAATTTTGGTTAATTAGGATTCCCGTATGCTATAGGCGACCGGCTGGACGATTGAAGAAGAGAAGATCGTTTTCCGCGATTTGAAGGCCATATGACCTCAGTCACTCTGCTCTGGAGCAGTAGGATAGGTAGAACAACAAATTTGTAGCGAATGTTGGCACCCAGCAGTCCAGATTGGCTCAGGCAGCAAAGTGACTAGGAGCAATTGAAGTCAAAGTCGACGGGAGGTAGCTCTTGGTTGCGACTTTTGCCCACCTGTGTCCCCACAACGGGCTGGTCTGTAGAGACGCTGGACCAAAATATGGGTCAGATTTGGCAACGGCATGCAAATGCCGCGCATGAGGTGGGAGCTGTGATGGCACGTCTAGACGCTAGCCATAGCAGTACGTGGAGACTAACGGGCTCGGACGCGGACTAGTGCATGAAATAAAAGAGAGAGTGCTGTCGACTTTGGGAAATCCATCCCAACAGCACTTCAACACACTCCTCGCTATGAAAAAGTCTGATGCAATTTGAAACCACTACGACGTGCTAACTTACGGCTTGGAAGGCCGCCAACAGATGGCATGACTCGGCCCTCCCGGGACAAAATGTCAAGCTGCAAAGGCTCCTTCTGAAGGTGGCCTCCATTGCACCCCCACCTACATATGAGCCAAGTCGACACCTTGCTTCTGTGAATACCTGGTCTGTTGTGTGAGGACCACAGTTCAAACATCGCATCGGACCTATGACCACCGTATACTCCACTGCTAGGTGAAGCAGGCACGGTGACTTGTGCGTAAATTGGTTTATAATGATGGTAGACTCACACAGCATCTACCGCACTCTTCCCTCCTCCCCTACCTGGGCGCGGTGTCAAGACACAGTCAAGAAGACCGGAGGCAGGAGACGGCGCAGGTGAATGGCACGGTCGAGACCGCACATTGGCGCTCCACTTCACCCCCTGGTCTACACAGCAAACGTCCAGGATCTGAACCAACGAAGTGGCTGGCATGGCCGGAGCCGCGCCCGGGCGTGCTGTCGCACCCTGCTCGGATCCCGCAGAGTGGAAGTGCCATAAAGGCCACATTAATAAGGAGCCATTGCAGCCTGATTCTTAGACCAATAGTCCGCCGCTCCACACAAACACAACACTGGGCCGACTGCGAATTGTGCAGGGACCAGGTCATGTATAGATAGACTGTTTGACTTCATCAGCCGCCGTGCCCCAGCTTGTACCCCAGATCGTCCTGACTTAGGCTTCTTGCCGGATCTAGGTTAGTAAGAAAGAGGTGAGTCGAGCAGATGCTGCGCAGGTCTGCTATGCCTATAAACTGATTCACGTCCAAGCCAGTGACTTGCGGCCAACGAGCTGTAGGGCACATGGTGGACACCGTTGTCCGCGGCGGCATTAATTATAATTCAATACGCCAGACAGGGTGATTGAGGGAGGAAGTAAAAACCTGTCCGGCGAATAGAACTTCGGGTCTCTATTTCCAAATGTGCCCCAGATACTAGGAAACTTGTCCCTGCATGCGGACAGACATGATGACAGTCCGACCGCTGACTCTGAGGATGTGTATACTGTGTGCCTTATGCAAGGGCGGGCGCACGGACTGCGAGTAGCGAGTGAATATGTTATTACCGACAAAGACAAGGGAGACTGGAATGGCCATTTCTGGCTTAGTAGCCGTCGTCAGCCAGTCATACCCAACCCCGAAGCATGGAACACCCGAGGCTCCAACTCGCGACATGTTTACTATAAGTCCACGTCTCTAACCACGGGGCCACGAGCCCGTTGCCCTGTCGGTTTCGACCGGGGATATACAATGGTAGGGGGCGCGCACCGATCGTTCTTACGGAACTCACTCGTTCCGTTGTGCCTTACAGGCTCTCTCTCGAACCCAACCAGCGGCCGCACAGCAGCGCATGATATAGACAGTATGTGAGCGCCCCCTACAATTGTATATTCCGACAATGGGCAACAAAACCGACAGGGCAACGGGCTCGTGGCCCAGTGGTTAGAGACGTGGACTTATAGCTAACATGTCGCGAGTTGGAGCCTCGGGTGTTCCACACTTCGGGGTTGGGTATGACTGACTGATGACGGCTAATAAGCCAGAAATGGCCATTCCAGTCTCCCTCGTCTTTGCCGGTAATAACATACTGCCTATATCATGCGCCGCTGTGCGGCTGCTGGTTGGGTTCGAGGGAGAGAGCCCGTAAGGCACAACGGAACGAGTGAGTTCCGTAAGAACGATCGGTGAGCGCCCCCTACCATAGTAGCGAGTGAATTGGTTCATAGTAATGGAAGACTTGCACAGAATCTATCACACCCTCTCGTCCTCTCACACCCAGGTCCCGTGCCGTTACGGAGTCAAGAATCAACGCATAGACACACACTAGGTTGACGACGCCGTTTGTATTAGATCGTCAGTTGGCAGCCAAGTTACGGCTTTTGGCGCACCGCGATAGTCTCAAACGAATCAGTTTGTTTGTGGTAAGTCGACCTCACTTGCTCTTCCCTCTCCCATATACCAGCCGACTTCCTTGAGTCAGTCGACTAGCTGGTGATAAGATTAGGAGTTTGCTGAGATAGCTAAGAGCAGACAGTCTGCGCGTGCCACGCACACGACCCGCCCCCACGTCGCACGTTAGGATCTCACACAAGGGTGCAGGTAGCTCGGGTCACATACACAGTAGAGGAGTCGCGGGGAGGAATCGAGGAGCACACTTTCCACTTGTGTGAGGAGTGCCTAATTGGTGCCGGTGGCGTTTGGTGTTGGAAGTGTTCATGTGTTGATGGGGAAATGAGCAGTGATATGGTCTAGTTTGCGGTGATTTAGCGTAGATTTTCGTGGGGACGCATGTCACTGGGTACACCAATGCAACGACTGAAGACGGGTGTATGTTGGTGTCTGAGGCACTTGTTAGCCAGTCTCTGTGCGATGGATTCGCAAGTGGCCGACCAGACTGGTGTGTGATGTTTACCTGTGATGGCAACATGGGCAGGATGGTTTGAGAGCTTCCGAGTCGGTTGCGGTAATGATGCTGCTGCCAGTGTTGGCCGCGGTAGTGGATGAGGACAGATATATATGTCAACTACTCGCGTATCAAGAAATACCTATCAGTGAGAACAGACAAAATCCTCTTGCCCGAGATTTATTATTCTCATCGCTGCCGCGATGCTTCGATTCCTGTTAAAAAATAAACGAAAGGCAAATATAATTTTGAGAAGTTATATTTTCGACTATTTACAAAAGGACGCGTGAATGCAAAAATAGGCATTATCGGGCCGACTAAAAATCACGGTGGCATACAACGCACAGCACGTTGAGCTGAAGAAGACTACAGGGAACACAGGGAACACAAACTCGTGCCAGATTGAGCTGGGCGCCTGCTGGCCCAGATCGCCAGCAAAAAGAGAAACTGAGGACAGACCCCGAAAAAGTATGCTGACGTCCGAAAAGTTGACGCCGCAATAAAATGACAGTCGGAGAGAAGAGCAAGAATCGGCGAGTGAGGGGTCACAGGAAGGGAAGGGAAGAAACGAGGGACGGAGAGAGGGGAAAAAGTGAAACGAAGAAAAACGAACCTCCTGTGCTGGGATGAGGAGGTTTGACAGTGGGGAAGGCGGGAGCGGGCGGGGCGGGGTGAGGGACGTGATGTGAATGAAAGCCCAGAGGTTGATCAGGAACGGTGTGAGTTATGGGCTTGCCGCACCGCGAATGCTCGCAGAGCACACAATGCCCTGCAGGCTTGTTCGCCAGCCCGTGCCCTGTGGACAGGTCGGGCTGATGCCAACACGAACGGCAAGGCAGTGCTTCTCAAAGAAGACGGCCCATACCTGAAAGCAGGGGAGTGCGAGATCATGCTAAATGCTGTAATCGTTTTTTTGCACACTACCCCCACAGACAGTGTGCGACGACAAAGAATGACTAAAAAAACTAGTAGTATTAGTAGTAGTAGTAGTAGTAGTAGTAGTAGTAGTAGTAGAAGTAGTAGTAGTAGTAGTAGTAGTAGTAGTAGTAGTAGTAGTAGTAGTAGTAGTAGTAGTAGTAGTAGTAGTAGTAGTAGTAGTAGTAGTAGTACCTGACCGTCGGGGCCACAGGAGAGGTGAGAAATCAGAGGCGCACAGACGAGGAACCACTTGATAGGCGCAGTGCCGTCCTGGGGGCAGGTAGGCAGACCCTCGTCGGGAAACTCTGGTGCCGTGGACATCCAGAGCTGGCCACTAGCATCAGTGCACCATACGACACACGAGGCGCGGGGACCGAGTCCCTCGGCGGAGCCGGCCAGTCGGCCGACAGAGGCCAGAGACCAGGCCAGACCCTGAGGTGACAGACCCATGCTTATCCAGGTCAGTTTGCGGGTGGCAGCGGCATCGGCAGTCGTCACCATGGCAACGGGTTGGGTGGTAACCCAGAGACGGCCAAACCGGCGACAGAGAGCCCACAGGCGGCCGGATGGACAGGCGGAGATCATAAAAAGTTCTCGGTTGACTGGGTGGTGCAGCCAAGTAGTGCCCTGCGGAGGAAGGGCAGCCAACGTGCTGTTTAGAGGCCAGCATTGAATGGAAGGGCCAAACTATTGGATTAAAATCGATGGCTAGATCTTATTTCGTAGCCGTACCTCTTAAGGGCAAAGGTTAGGAGTTTTGGGTCGGCGTTAGGGTGGGGCTTGTCTACTGCGAGCACGGCTACAAAATAGGATCCGACCAAACCGACAGACTGCAGCGCATAAGGATACCTCATAAGGTACCTTGAGTAAAGACCGGCCAATTTTTATGTTCAACGAATAAGATCAGTAACATGGTGAAAAGTCCGCAAGTCGGCAGTTTCAAAAAGTGGCAACTGAATGCAGATGAAAGTAAGGAGAAAGTGAAAGACGGTTGGGAGCGCACAACAGGTGCCTGCGAGTTCTATTCCCAAAAATATATGCTCTAGAGACTGCACCTAGTCCATGAGGGAGTCTGTGAGGATGAGTCAGAAGTGGGGCTGGCATTCGGTAGCCGCAAACAGAAAAGAAAGGGTATCAGGGCGAGGCCGTTATTGCACCTGCACTCCACTGAATGTCGGCTCGTTTGTGCCAATCCATAAAATTTAGCGTGAAACCCAAATGCGAGGGTCCGTTGGTGAGTAAGTATGGTATGGGGAAATCCATCCTCGCAAACTAAATCATGACGCGATACCTCACAGGTCACATGATTTATCATTCCGGCAACACAAGTGGTAGCTAGTTGCTGCTGCATGACACAGCTTCGAGGGGCTCGGCTCATCAATGTGTCCCACAGCATTCCCCGCGGGTTTTGAAATTTCAGCCTTTTAAGCTGAACTTGGAGTAGCTTATTCAGACTGAAGATTTATAGGCTTACGAAGGTCTTCCATTTGGCCAAAACAACTGCATAGCAAGGTTAGAAATAGACACATGATTCATGCATTTGATCGAATTGTGAAAAATTCGGCGACTTCAGTGGAATTCGAATCCACGACAGCAAGGGCAAGACCTGAGTACAGCCGACGCTCTAATCACCTGGGCTACGAGGTCCCACTAGGAGGCGTGTGTTTAACTATACTTGGGCCAGATAGTCTGTCGAGGATACTGCAACGCATGGAATCCACCAAATCTGATACAGTAGGCTGACTGCCCAAGAAGGATTTCCTATGTAATCAATCTAGAAACCTTCAGAATAATAAGGGTGATGGATTCACAAAGGTTGCGGCAGTTAGTTGTGCAGTTTTTATGTTGCCACACACCTACTGGTGGTTAGCAGTTCCCAAAATCATCTCCGAAGGTCGCACTTGGTGTGATAATTACTGTTATGGAAGATTTCAAATAATTCACTATGACCCAATTGTGAAAAACTCGGCGCCTCGGCAGGAATCGAACCCACGATAGCAAGGGGAAGGCTTTAGTACAGCCAACGCTCTAGCCACCTGAGCTACGATGCCCCACCGGGAGCTGCGAGTTTAATCACAGTTGGGCCTAGTTACCCCGTCCAATTTACTGTAACGTCTGCAATCCACCAAATTTGATACAGCAAGCTGACTGCCCAAGCAGGATCTCTCAAGTAATCCATCCAAAATCCACCAGATTACTTCCAGGTCTCGTAGCTCAGGCGGCTAGAGCGTTGACTGTACTAAAGTCTTCCCTTTACCGTAATCGGTCCTAGTTCCACCGAGGCGCTGCTCACGCAGTCCTGGAAGGATGCCGGGTGGTAAACTGGTGGCAGTGGCCCTTATGTGTGTTGGGCTACTGCTGTTGCCAGTCCCAGTGTGTGTGTGCATGTGTTCGTGCTGATGTTAGCTCCTATGCGTGTACTGCTGCGTGTGTGTGGTGATTACTTGTTCGACCACATCCGACTCCTTGACTGTCGTAATTTTGCCACTGGTGTTAGAAACTGGCGTGATACTCATTCCACTATCTGAATCATTGCTACTGTCGCTGTAAGCGCCGCTTGTCGCGCGCACCTCCATTGTAGCCAATTACCCTACTCAGGCAGTCTCAGCGCTAAATGTGGAGTGGGAGGCCATTGAACTCGATGAGATTGCGGACCGGAGGACTATGACTCGAGCACCGGACGAGTAAGAAATCATCCCACCAAGTCCGACAGCCGGCGATTACTGTGGAAGCTGATTGGTATGCGGTTGCATGGCAACTATATCCTATAAGCACTAAACCCCCTGTCTGATGATGCGTTCGAGTGAGAATCAGACAGACCAGGTGGATGAACTTAGGCCAGATCTTATTTCGTAGCTGCCCCCGCAGTAGACAAGCCCCAGCCGCCTGTCATACGGCACCGGTGGTAGTAGGGGGTTTAACACCAACCCCCTAACCCTATTCTCAAACTTTTAACCCCCAACCCTAACTCCAAACCCCTAACAGGTGAAGCTACGAAATAGAATCGTACCTGAACTTATTGTTACAGCGATCGCATCCCCTTCTCATGTGGGCTATCGGCTGATCTCTGGCCATGGCAATCGCGCTGTCCGTACGGCAGTAACAGGGATACGGAGAATCCTGTAGTCGGCGTGGGTCACTGGCCTTGCGGGGTGAGAGTTGGCCGGAGTCGAGGTCCAAAACCAAATAGGACGCCTGCACCACCTCCTACAAACAGACCAGATCGGCCACCGCTACTCTTACGTGGCTTTTAATACCTTTGTTGGTCGCCGACAAATTTCGGTTTTGTTCCTCCAACGTTGGAGAGTTGACGCTGACGACCAACTCTTTAAATCTCGAGCCTCCTCGGGCAAGGGTAGGGGGTATGGCTGGCCAATGACGCGAAATAATTCGGAAAAGGATACCCCAATCCCCCCTAATTTTTGTCAGTAATATCTTTCGGTTAAAGGCCCCATCCTAGGAATAGAAGGGGCGCGCCCGCACACAACGCCGACCTTTAACCAACCAATCGCTTGCCTTAATAAAGCCACAGGGATGAAAACCAGAAAAGGAAGGACATCCCATTTACTGAGGTTATGAAGTAGGACAACTTCAAATGATAGCATGAAATAAATGGCGCAGTGGAGAAGCGAAAATACTCATCGATTCTCCCATGGACATACACGAATTTCGCTACCATCGGGCCACTTGTACCTATCATGCGATTCTGTGGTTCGTTCCTCGAAAGGTCGGCCTGGGTTCTCCCGCCAAAAGCCAATATAGTTGGGCTGCGGATTTACACGGTAGCCCTTGCTACGTACCCGTTCCTTGCTCAGCTCCACCTCCGAGCCGCGGCCACGAATGCCCGCGGGCTGTTCCGAGACAGACCGATGCGTGGCAGGCGGGCGGAATTTGGTGGTTGGAATGTCATGCAACGGCGGATAGATGTAGGCATCCTCGTACTCTGACTTGCCCGGGAAGGCGCGCGGAATGCCCGCGGCGGTGACCGGGTCGACTTGTCTCGGTCTCAGCTGGCAGTTTCGAGCCATACGCAATAGCCTCTCGCATTCCTCATCTTCAGGTGCAATGTCATCGGTGGTGTGAACCGCCTCGGCCCGTCGTTCTTCAATGCCCAGGTTCCACCTTGGGGCCATTGGCGGACGCGTGTCGTTGTAGAGAGCCTCATCTACACGGGACTTCTGATCAGCGCGTCCCAAGTAGCCCATGTTGTTGCGATACCCCAGGTACCGATCAGTGATGCCCATACGGTCGAGGTACTGTCGTGTTCGTACTTGCGCTGCGTCAGACAGGGGCTTCAGCTCTGCTCGGAAACCGGACAACTCCTTTATAGCCCAGTCCTGGGCGGCGCGAACGTTGGTGTCGGTCCATCCCACGCCCACGTCGCTGTCGGCCGCGGGAGACTTCAGAAGTTCGGTGCATGCACATGGATTGTTGCTGCAGTCGAGGCGGCCCTTATCCATGTTCACTTGGTATCGGGCTACCAGTTGTCCGCCGGGGTCCTGCAGATGTTTACTGGCCTTGAGAAGGGCCTGCCGTTGGGTGACCAGATCACGTTCGGGAAATTTGCCATGCCAGGATTTGTCAGATTTTTGGAGAAGTTGCTCGTCTAGTCGTAGGTGGGCCACTTCATCGCCAATGTCACGCAATATGGCGTCCGTTGCCCTAGTGTGCACAAGGTGGGGATCAGAGTAGAGGCGACGCACGTCCCCATACACGTCGGCCAGTGCCTCGTTGTAGACCTTAGCGTAGGCCTCGGGGTTTGGTTGGACATGGTAAAAGTGGGGCATACGCCGTGAAAGGGAACCCATGGCAAAGTAAAAAAAGAAGGGACCCCGGAGAATTCCGGCACAGCTGCGCGAACTGGCCCTCGCGCGAGAAAGCAAACTACAGCACGCTCAGTTGCCAATCGATCGACGGTGGGTCAGGTCCATTCAAAAAGACATGTGCGGGTCAGTAAGTGGCAATGGGATGTAAGCTTGCAGAAAAAGACGCATCAAGACCCCACCAGGAGAAAAATGCTAATTGCTCGGGATTTTTAAACGTACGTATAATGGCTGAAAGAATATTCCAATCCGGATAGATGAAAGGCATCAAAATATCTTACAAACTATGGATCAAAATGAACTCGAGTCATGGAGGATCTCGCAATAACAGGACTTTTGTGGCTGCTAGGTAATTCTGGAATCCTGTCAGACACAAGGCGTTAAACATAGGACTGAAGTGGTAGCAGATTCTCTGATGAGTTTTAAACTGAGCGAGGATATTCATGGGGAGAATCCACGCCCGCTTAGTGAAGTAGTTTGAAGAGAAAAGGCACGAAAAGGAGCGGTCTACCTAAGTAAAGTCAGCGACCGATATCATGAAAAGTTAACCGAAATTCGTTTCCGATTAGGGAGGATTATTTATGTGGGGCTGTAACGTTGGTTATCCTGCGGCATAATGCCGTTTTGACTGCCCTACCCAGACGTAACTTGTGATGGTTGCGGATAGACTGCCTATTGTTGTTGTGCGAGCGGTCGCACATTCAAAATTTGCATCCAAAGGAAAGAAATGATTCACAGGAAACAGTTAAATCCTTAAGTAAAATTACAGGGAAAGCCCGCATGGGCACTATTTTTTGGTCTTGTACAGAGTCCAACCATCGATCTTTCAATTCTGTTACGGATGCTTTGCCAATGACTCACACCTGACGTCTCTTTTTATTTATCCGTCACAGGGCGGGCCTACTACAATTTTGGCTTCGGTTTCTGCGGGCCAGAAGATGGGTAATAAATGCGCGAAACTTGCCTTAACCCTTAAGTCAAATAAGTAGCAATTATTTTATCGACTCGATTTGAGTCCAATGATCGCTATCTGACGTGAAGCTAATATCTGACGGTACAGCGCCAGAGCTCTTCAAGTGGACACTTACGCAGATGACAAAGCAGACGGACTTAGCATAGGATGCTAGCAACACACAAAAACGATGAGAAGGGCTAAGCGAAACGCTAAAAAACTGGGTTTCCATAATCTATGCGAGTCCGTACTGCAGGATTAGAGGCGGAGACACCGAGGCGGCAGACCAGTTCGCCAGACAGGGTAACAGCCCAGACACTGGTTGACTCGGCGGAGGTGACGAAACAGAGGCTGCGCAGGCGGAGAGGACCGATCTCCTGCCAGGGAGCTTTCAGTCGCACAGCGTAGGTACGGGTCCATCGACGTCGTCGAGCTCCGCTGTTCCACTTTGAACGGAGACCAAAGTGTCTGGCAGTGGACAAGGGAAAAGAGGGTAGGATGATGCCCAAAGGTTTAGTGGTTCAGGCCCTCTGATGCGCGCATGTCACTGACATTGACACTAACATTGGCAAGGGAGATTTACATTTTGGCTAAAATACGGACTGTAAATCAGGACAGACCCCGGATAGAAATGAAGTGAGAGGAGTAATTTAACTATAAAATTAGTTCAAGGTCCGTGTACGACTGGTTTTTGAGTCTTGACGCGTACTCGCGCGGGAAATGCGCGTGGCGTGATTGGTTAATCCATTTCGATAAGGAATTGGAGAGGCTGGCGTTTCAGAAGTCGGTGAAGACTCGGTTTTTTGAACGGTGAAACTCGATATTCAATATGCGTTCGACTGCTATTAGAAAGGAGGAGTATGCTAGATAAGCAGACATAAGATTGTCACACATAAACTGCTAAGATATCGGCGTTGCATTCAAAGTGCGCTAGGTGACGTATCCCATGAAGCATTAACAGGAATCCTGAAACTTGCCTTCGATTAACACAGATTACTCAGGTAACGATGCAATACTGATCAACAAGAGACATAATCCAAAGATATCTGAGCCAGGCCAAAACACAGGTGTTGGAATCCGCGTCCTTCCATTGGCCTGCAACGTGCCGTACAACATTTTTCATAAGTTTTCTATGCTCCAACAAATTTAATTATATTTTAAAGAAAACGTGGACAAAATAACCACTCTTCTATTCATTTTGCAGTAAATTGCATCTTCTTCGAAGTCTGCCCTCAAAAAGTGAGCCGAATAATTTTAAAGACGGCCGACGTTGCAATGGGACCTATGGTTTCCGACCCACAAGGTTTAAGCTCACCATGCACAGAAAATCATATACTCCTCTATGCTATCAAAGATATCTTTTAGCTTCCATAAAGTGCATCAATAAACGAACAGATGCAATGCGATTTGAATGGACATTTCACGGTCTTAGGAATCTCACAATAACAAACTAGCTCAAAATGAAAAATTACCTTTTCTCCGAATCAAAATTTAACGAAAGCGTAATTTACCATCAAATTCGTACAAGGGTGAATATTTTTGCATAAGTTTTCTATAAAATATACTTTAATTTATATAACCATCGAAAATAGAAAGAAACAATTATAATACTGTAGTAGAAACTACTTCAAAACTCCATGAACGTCAAAGGTCATCATAAGATAGCATAGAAGAATAGATGGTCGCCTGTACATAGTAATTATACAGTTTTTAGGTCGGAACCCCTAAGCGCAATCGCAACGCCGGTCCTGCTGGAATTTTTTCGGAGATTGAGAAACTCTTTTAAAACCATAAAGTGCCATTTTTCGAGCATATAATTCGCAGAAGGTGCAATTAAATGTAAAATGAGTACAAAAACGAATTTTCAGTAAAATATTTTCATTTATAAGGGCATCGAAAATCTATGGAAAGATCCTAATGCATAAGTAGACACTTTTTTACTGAGTGTGATTGTTGCAGGCAGATGGGAAGACGCACATACGAAAGCCGGCATTTTGGGGGTGACTCAAATATTTTGGGACTGTGTTTCATGATTATCAATATTGCAATGCAGCCAAAGTAATATTTTCTAATCGAAAATAAATTTTATAATTTCGGTTGACGTTTCGTGCGTAGGCATGCGCGCGTGACGCATTCCAAACAAATTAACCCTCTCGTGGGCGCGCAGAATAGAGAAAAGGTTGCAATAATGGTTTTCCACGCAGAGGTTTCAAGCCCATACTATACTTTGTAAAAATTTGAAGTCTATCAAAAGGCAACAAAGTCCACTCAAAACCAATCACACGACAGTGAATGAAGAGGGATACGAACGGTGGCATGTTCTGAAATCACGGCCCATGCTTATATCAAACAAATCTTGAGATTCGAACACTTGCGGAATCATCCCCAAAGGTAGGACCGCTAATGTGAACAGAGGGTAGCAAAACAACTTAGTACCGATGGTTCGAAAGCTCAACTGGGATTTACAATAGGCTAACCTACACTCGATCTGATGTACGATGATCGAAACATACACATCGGCTCTGCTGCGGCATGATTTCCTCTCATTAGTTTTGCCTGTTTCAGACTGTAACAGCAAAAGATTTTCTTGACTGCCTCCTATGACATCATTTTCAAGCGATCCTTTGACTGTCGTAAACGAAAAATGTAACTACTTTTACGCAGGCGCAGTGATGAGTTTGGTGCAAAGTTGTTGAGGGTGGAATGGATAATGGTTGAATCTACCTCACTCGTCCCCCCCCCGCAGATGTTGGGCATCGCAGTCTGCGACAGACGAACTGGTGTTGCATATTTGACAGGTGTTCTGTGCAGAATGCGATAGCTCTTTCCGATTGTGGCCTTTATGGCGCAAATGACTTCAATGAGAAACTGAAACCCCTCTCACTTTTTGAAGTGTGGCGACGATTGCGTGTGGCACACGCATATGCGGATTCAGTCCCGCCAACTGCTACTTGCCAGACCATTTCCAGTCGTCCGTAATTTGCGTTGTTGTCGGAGTATGACGAGTGCGGAGAAGGTGAGATAGTTGTCGTGAAAGTCACAACTGCGCACCCGGAAGCATAGTGGCCCCTGTATAGGGACACAACCACAGACACATCGAAATGAGCATCGGCTTTGCTGAACAGGACGGGGTAAAGGAAATTGGTGGGTAACCTAGAAGTGGGAATGCGGTAACAAATCAGTCGGCAGGTGTGCTAAGCTCAACCTTCCTTCGAAGAAAACCAGCCACATGACTGGCAAAAAACGCCAAAATCATTGCAAGCATTAACAGGACCCAAAGGCGGATTTGACTGGCTACCCCCCCACACCTAAAATGTTTGTCTTTCTACGCACCTCGCAGTTCTGCGGACGAACTCACGAAAAAATATCAAAACTTGGAGCAATGAACTTCTTGACTGGTGCTCGACTCTTATTCCCGATCGCGCTCTAAGAAGGGTGAAGACAGTCAAGTAAATCCATCAGGACATAGAAGACAGCGTAGTATGCGTCAAAACATACAACGACGTCAGCCGGGAAGCATATTGCCAGCCCTCTTCGTCGCAGGCGGCAGAGGGCACATCACAGCTGCATTCCATACCCGGACACTGGGCTGGGACCTGGGAAGACCTCTTGGGCTTCGACACCAGGGTTGGAGGTTGCACACTGAGATCTGAGCACGAATTTGAGGGATCGACGTGTTCAAGTAAAGGTGACGAAGAGGAGGAGCGTAGTGATCCATCTAGGCGGGCGGGCGCGAAACGTTCGAGGTCACGGGAAGTCCCAGGAAGAGGCAAGAGGTTCGACGTGGCGTGTTGGCTATGACAGTTGCAGTCAACCCTCCAAGGACTTTGCCACTGACAAAACGCAGAAGGCAGCTGAACCTCAGAGAGACCGCAGGCATGTTGCCGACGGTTATCCTTGGACCACATCGCAGAGCAATCGCCTATCGGCCGGCTGGAAAATTAAGAAAATAACTGCTACTAAATTGTAAATAAGTAAGATATTAATTTTAAGAGGAGACAGTGCAGCTACATAGCTCACCTCGAACTGAACC